TAGTTAACCACAGTCGGGAGGAGAAATGATAGATTCATACCTTTAACAAGTGAATGTAATGAACTCGACTGGGATTCGAATTCGACTTAATACTCAATTCCTAAAGCCGAGTCGCTATCCATTACTCCACACCACACACACACACACACACACACACACACACACACACACACACATATATATATATATATATATATATATATTATGAAATGGACAAAGTCTGTGAATTATTTTAAGACATTTTTTATGTTTATACGTTCTTTTTTTTATAGATACAAATGTTTAAGTAGATGCTCTGTTTATAATAAATAGTATTAACAACATTTACCGGCCTGAATGTCCGAGAAATCGTCATTTAGCCTGACGTGCTTTTACTGATTGAGCCAGAGAGAAGCGATTCGGTTAGCAAGGTGGAATTGTAGTTTAAAAACAGTAAAATCGGCCTCGCGGACCGAAACGCTACTCTCTGGCTCAATTGGTAAAAGCACGTCAGGCTATATGACGGTTCCGTATAGGATACAGGTTCGATTCCTGTCGGAGGACGCATATTTTCTATGAAAATTTCTCGGACATTCAGGCCGGTAAATATCGTTAATACTGTTTATTATAAACAGAGTGTTTACTTCAATTTTTGTATATATAAAAAAGAACGTATAAACATAAAAAATGTCTTTTATATATATATATATATATATATATATATATATATACGATTCTCCCATGATGATAATTCTAAGTTTTTACCAAACAACCTGCACACGTGAATTGTTTAAAGGGGTCATTTGCCTGTGTCCTGCAACCTACAATGTACACTCTCTTCATCATAGAACTATATCCTGCATTTTTCTTCTGTGTGCCATATATCAGTTGATGCTAAAATCGTAGGCTTTTTAAATAGGACTTTTCCATCTCCTAGATGCATGTCGAACGTTGGCTCCTGTAAGAATCTCATCCATACTTTGTCAACTCTCTCCGGACAGAGTTTTAATTCACCTGCCAACTTGTCTGTCCTGCCATTTACCAACAGTTGGGAGGGAGAAGGAATCGATTCATACTCAAGGTTATTTACACGCAAGCGAATGTAACGAACTTTACTAGCATTCGAACTCGTTCCTCTTATTTTTCATTCCAAGCCGTTATCCATTATACCACACGCATGCCCAAGCTGACAAGCGGTCATCCATCTACGTACTGACCAGGCTCGACGTTGCTCAACTTCGGTGATCGGACGAGAACTAATGTTTCAATGGGATATGCTATTTTACGGGTCTTTTTTATCAAACTTGTTTGGATCAATGCTTGTTACTTATATAGTGTTAGTGTTTGAAGATGCACATTAATTATAAACAGGATGAATTTGCTATAAAGAAACACCATATTTCTGTTGTAATCCCTGGAAAACATATAAAGTTCATAATATATCATAGAAAATGAAAGACCGCAAACCTTGTCATCACCAACCGAAATAACCCCACCAAAACCAAACTAACGATGGTCAATATAGTGTACTAATTTAATTTTTCAGTATAATACTATGTTACTCGTCAAAAATCAATTACCTATATCGGACATACCACTACCTCCTTAAGTAGGCGCCTTACATACCACCTTTTGAAGCAGAGTACGATTAATACACATTCATTAACTCATAATTTACAAAAAACCTTTAATGAAAATTCTAGTCGATAAAACAAAGATTTTTTCCAAATTACATAGTCGTACACAATTCATTATTAGGGAAGCATTGGTGATTAAATACAATTTAGAGACGGCGTGTTAAAAATAGAAGTGTTGCCCAGGTCAACCGCCCGCGCATGCACGCGACCGCCAAAACAGCATACAACCCCGCGGACGTACTCCACATATCTAAACTACTATGTAATAGCCGACACACAGAAATTCGCCATCCAAAAACAACGTCCTTGATAATGTCTATAGAACCAGCTGAAAGTGCTCGGAACAATTATAAATATGGAAATTTTTATAATGTTTAACCCTTAAATAGCGGGAAAATTTTAGAATGTTTGAAAAACTCAATAACAGATTTATTAAATCTTCCTTGTCAGCCGTTTTCAATGTTTTTTATATATATATATATATATATATATATATATATATATATATATGACAAAAAAATATATATATATGACATTAAATATATATATATATGACATTAAAATATATATATATATATATATATATATATATATATATATGACATTAAATATATATATATATATATATATATATATATATATATATATATATATATATATATAACATTAAAAATGTCTCAAAATAATTGTCGGACTATGTCCATTTCATAATGTGTGACGTCATTTGTTTACATTTGTATATGCATCGAGCAGATATGAATGTACGAGAGAAAATCATAGAGAATTATAGTTTAAAAAGAGTAAAATCGACCTCGCTAACCGAAACGCTCCGCTTCTGCTAAATCGGTAAAGTAGGTCAAGCTATGTGATGGTTCCTTGTAGGATACAGGTTCGATTCCTGTCGGAGGACGCATATTTTCTATGAAAATTTCTCGCACATTCAGGCCAGTAAATGTCGTTAATACTGTTTATTATAAACAGCGCATTTACTTAAATATTTATCTCTATAAAAAGAACGTATAAACATTAAAAAAATGTCTTAATATAATTGTCGGACTTTGTCCATTTCTTAATATATATTAGGTTTTTACACATGAAATGACGCATTTTTTGGTTGTAACTTCTATAGTATATAAAAAGTATCTAGACTTATTTCTGACTCTTTTTCTTTCCAGATAATGTTTCTTCAATATGTTGTAACTCATATGCCCAATGAAAATGATTAATGTTGAGTAATCTTACTGCATGAGTACAAACTGGGAAAAAGTACTATTTCATCAAATCATTCGATACGATGAGAAATCGTTGACAACAGTGAGAGAGTAGGCTAGTTGATAGATGCAATTGAATCCCCAAAACAATACCCAAAACCTCCACTGCACTATAAAACGTTAACGATTACTCTATGGTGGTCTTTCAAATGGGCTATTTATTATTCATTGTTGCCTCAAGAGAAAACAATAGTAGCAACCTCGTATTGCGGAGAGAAAAAAATGAGTGTATGTACGAAAAATTGAAAAAGAAACATCTTAGACTTGTGAATAGAAATGGCTCAATAATGCTGTACGAGAAATCACGGTATTACGCTTCTCAATCAATTGTCCAAAAGCTGCATCGCCTGAATTATGAAATTATACCCCATCTTCCATATTCACCTGATATCTCTCCTACTGATTATAAGTTATTTAAGCATTTTGAGTTTTTCATACGCAATAATACATTCTCCAATAAAGAAGAGGTAATCGAAACATTTGAACTGTTTATATCATCAAAGGATAAGAAATTTTTAAAAGATCAGCGCAAGAATTTAGACGTACGTTGGAGAACAGTCATTCATCAACATGGTGTTTATTTCAACTAAATAAATTACTTATTTAACATTTCAGAAGCGTTTTATTCATTTCCTATAAAGTGCGACATTTCATGTATGATAACCAAATATATATCATTTAATGGTACCCTTCTTTACAGGAAACGCATTATTTTTTTTATGCAAATACAATATTCTGTGATGAAACGTAAACATATTTTTATTGCCATGAACTTTCCAAAGTACGTTTTTTACATAATACAGGGAAATAACTTGTTTTTTTTATTGCCAAATTTGCATGTATTTTTCATAATTTACGAACCATTTAATGCTTTAAAAAACGTTGGGAAACCTGTAACCGAAATGTATTTTTATGTCCCCAAAACACAAGACGGAAGTTTGTAAATACAACTCTTCTTCTTATTCTTTCTCTCTCTCTCTCTCTCTCTCTCTCTCTCTCTCTCTCTCTCTCTCTACTCTACTCTTTTTATATTTTTCTCTTACTCCTTCTCTATATCATTCTTTTATTTTTCTCTTTCTATAAAACATGGTCTTTAAATATGTACAAGATTTTAAATGCTGGTTTTAAAAGCAAGCTGCTGAAAATATTGACAAAACACAATATTTGCCCCCCCCTCTCCATTCTCTTTTATGTCTTTGTGCCATAATAAGCTTAGCATATGAAGAGCATCGAATTGACTAATGTTTTAAAACACAATTGACGGAAGAAGGCTTTTTTTTCAGTAATTTTACATCCAAACTATCAAAAATAATTTCAAAGTAAACTAAACAAAAAACGAAAACTGCGTTGTAGATAATGAGAAGAACAATGAAAATAATCATATGTAATTTCAAAATAAGCAAAAGGGCCTTCTAAATGCTATGCAAAGTATCATGAAATAGGAAACTTTCGTAAGGAAAAAAAGAAAAGAGTACTGGACTGTTATGTAATGAAGAAGGGACTTGGCAAGTGAAATGTGGGTCTACATGATACTGATAATAATATGTGAGTAACCACGAAGTTTTAAGAAAAATGTAGGCAATCGAAAGACATGCTTAGAATCAGAAAAAAGCAGGTAAAAATGTTAGTGGACAGAAATGAGAAAAGAGGCATTGTGAAATTTAACACACAGAATATATTGAATACAAAATGGACAGGGTATTGCAGCGAGTAAGCTACTTAACGGTATTGAGTAAATGGTTAGCAGAACAGTGATTGGGAGAGATGAGAAACCGATAAACAAAGAGATATAAAGGACGGGAAGTTATGGAGAGCAATGGCCGCCCACGTTCTGAAGACGTCATAAAAAGGACACCTTATGTACCCGTCAACTCTGTCAAAAGATGATCCAGAGCAGGTGAAATTATCACCTCTAATAGTACATTTCAATCGCCAAAACCTTATGTACACACCATTTTCTATTTACAATCTACCAAAAACTAACAGGAAAAGATGTTTTACACGATATCCTATACTCTAAATAACTACACTGAAGCGTCCCAACATATATATGTCTGCGCCAGATTTGGACGCGTAAATAAGAATTGTAATTATGTTTAACATTGAAAGTGACATCCAGATTCATAGACAATAGAAAATTGTTATTCCTCCCTTTCTGAATATATATATATATATATATATATATAGATAGATAGATAGATAGATAGATAGATAGATAGATAGATATATATATATATATAGATAGATAGATAGATAGATAGATAGATATCAAATGAACATTGATGTCAACACTTAGAGACGACAGACTGTTTCATGCTAGACGCAATCGTCAGGCCACAGTACTTATTGGAAAGCGCTCAATATCAATGATAGAGCTAACATACTTAGTTGTATGGATGTGAGTTTGTAACCCTAGGATTCACGCCTTTGCGATCCTCAGACAAACTGAGTTACAGGGTTACAAACTCACATCCATATATATATATATATATATATATATATATATATATATATATATATATATGTGTGTGTGTGTGTGTGTGTGTGTGTGTGTGTGTGTGTGTGTATCTTTGTTCGTATTTATATCAGAATGGTAATTATCTATGTGTTTATCTCAGTCTATTCAAACAAATCTATGCAGATAGATAGATAGATAGATAGATAGATAGATAGATAGATAGATAGATAGATAGATAGATAGATAAAACATTGACTGGCATCTACACATTATTTGATAACTGTTTAGGTAGGTAGGTAAATTGACAAGTGCCTGTTTGAATTGATCAATCAAAACTTACACGCTGAGGTACATGCGAGATGCAAGGTATTTGCTCTCTTATTCTGCCATCGATCGCTTGATCAATAGATTGATCGATCGACCCGGCTGAGAGTCCATATGCGTAAAGGCAATCAATCCTTGGATCAGGTGATCCTGATTGATTTGCCAAATTTCAAAGAGAAGCCTTCTAAGGAAAAAGCCCAAATAGACCCAATAGCCTATCTTTGAAGACTTTATATCGTAGACTATTAAATTCTTTTACTTGGAATTTGAGAATTACATTAATCCATGGCTGGTATTGGATTCAGCAAAATCTCCGAAAAAAGAATTCATCTCAAAAGATTTACTAACAAAAGTTTCTGAAATAGACAAACGATGGATATTCGAGATTCGGCTTCCAACTACATATCAGGTTGTCGATTTGTTGTTCCACCCTCGTGGATAGATAGATAGATAGATAGATAGATAGATAGATAGATAGATAGATAGATAAAACAGAATTTAAAGAAGGAAGGAAGGAAGGATTAACCTATATAGTTAGAGTAGGAAAATGCAAACTAAAAAGAAGTATCGAGTGAGGAGATGATATTTAAAGGAAAACAATCGACGTTAAGAGGCTGAAAAGATGAAAGCTAAAAGAAAAGACATAATAGATGCTCTTAGGTTTGTAGAAATCATTTCCCTATAAAGTATTTATCTTTTATGTTGTATTCCCCTTTCGCTACTTACTAGTCAACTTGATCCTCATTGATCTGATAAAACTTGCGATGTTATCAATGCTAATGTGATTATCAAAAACACTCACGATGATGTTTTAGGATTTATTATTGAATATTTGCGGTGAATTATGACTGCGCTGTACAAATGCTCAGTCTTCTTTGTAGTTATTTTCCTGTAATTTTATCTAAAAATATGTTCCGTATAGCTACTCCTTCGAAATACTTGATAGCATTAATGAGGCATTCTTTACTGACAATTTCCAGTCAGATATTCACAATTTAATTAAATATGGGAAAATGCATTTTCTGTTTCTGCACTTGTGCAATTTTAAATTATAAAAACATTTTTTTAAAAATTTAATTTGATCTCTGTTTTACATTCGTTTTTTTTATTTAATTACATATTGTACAAGATTTATGCTACAACAGGAGCAGAAAATACCAACTATTGGCTGTAGCGGATATATTTAGTATCAGAAGCAGCTGAATGTCGGCTTTAGAAACCCATTTTTTCGAAAAGACACCCTTTTCTTTTTTCCTTTGCTGTTGGGTAGGATCGCAATTCCTAGCAGAGAACTGCATATTTTCAGCCGGCCAGTAAATAGGAGTTTTGTTTGTTTAAAATTAGAATATTTCCCGTGATACAGATGTTCCGAATATCCTGCAAAAAGAAGAATTGCTTGAATAGGAGGGAAGTTTCTCTGATCAGGTCTATCAACAGACAATTGGTTTTTCTGAAGTTTGTTTTGTTTAATGATATTTCAAATTTTTCCAGGAGGTTTGATGTCAAATTCTATCTTTTTGATATACAATAACTTGGTACACATAAATTTGGTTAACACGAGAGGATAAAGGCGTTGGTTAGATCCAGTGACAGTACCCAAAAAGTGTGAGTTCAATACTCGGTTAAGGCAGTAGAGAACTTGGAGAGGGGAATTAACAGGAGATAACTTATAACTGACATCCATTAAACATGGCACATGGAACTAGAACAGTCTACCCCAGTGAGCAAAATAAAGGGTTCAGTTCGACATTCTAGAAGTCTATTTTAATATCTTAGTTGACTTCGAGAAGCCAATCTTAATGAAAATGACTGAGTAACCGTATTCTCCATACTCGACAGGCCTATATGAATGCGAAGGTTGACTAACCATATTCTCTCACATCCAGAAGCCTATCAATGCGATGCTTGACTTCCCATATTGTCTCTCATTGAGAGACCTATCTTAATGCAATATTTGACTTATCGTATTTTCGTTCCTCGAGAAGCCTCGTTGTCGGTTTTAATCGCGTATCCAAGAATTTAATTTCTTCTTTGCTGATCGCTTCCTTTATGATGACGGCGTTGATGACTAAATTCGCAGCCAATGTGCAGGTTCAGGACTAGAAGCTTCCACCAAAACCTTCGGCTGTCATCCATTCCTTATCGCCGTTTGGCTTTGCAAGAGTTGGTTGGAGGCGAAAGAAAACCAGAGTAGCAGAAAGTGCCGATGGCGTGAATTTGTTTAAGGTGGACCTTAACTTGATAAGAAGTGACCTACACTCTTGATTTCATGATCTTCTTCTACTGCACATATAGGATGAGACATGCGGGATCCAGTTATGAAACTGCAACAGCCTGCCGCTAATTCGCCTTTTGTATCATAACCGTCATACGTAGCCCTCTTCATCTACTGGTTCAGCCGTTAAGATCTGTTTTAATCGTCATCTGCTTGTTCCACCGTTGGAGTGTTTGGTGTTGATCGTGCTTAATCTAGAAGCCTATCATAAGCCTATCATACCGTATTGTATTTCCTAGAGAAGTATATCTTAATGCAATGGCTGACATTCTGTATTTTCTCTTCTCCAGATAACCATGCGATGGCTGACTTATCCTATACTCCCTCCTCGAGAGGCCTGTCTTAATGAGGTGGTTGACAAACCGTATTCTCTTTCCTCGAGAGGCCTACTTCGATGCGATAGCTGGCTAACTCTATTCTACTTCCTGAAAAGCCTATCTTAATGCGATGACTGACTTACCGTATTCTCTCTCCCAGGAAAGCCTTTATTAATGATATTTCTATCACAAAGATCCGCCGACTGCAGTCGTTTGGTTCCAAAAATATAACCCCGTCTTTTATCTCCTTAACACAGTCATACGTTATCATATTTTTATTGGTGAAGTTTCAATAAATATTCCTCATCCTTCTTCTCCAACTTTTGTATTAATGCCGCTGTGGTGAGGCTTTCCTTTCTCTTACTTGTCTCATCGGTCAACATCAGACATGCTGTAGAAATGAAACGCCTGCTTAGAGTTTAATTGACGAAGTCAAAACCGAACACAAAGAGGGATTAATTTTGTTAATGATTTTATATCTAGCCTCTTCCCAACAGATGCAACACTGTAACACTTCTATCACTATTTCCAAGGCAATTGTTCAGATAAGCTTCATTCTTTAGTTCCACTAGTTCAGAAATTTACAGCTCGGGCAAACAATGCTACATCCACGGAATCGAATCACTCGCATTTGCTCCGCATTCGAAATGTAGGGAGAAAGTTCCACTAAGATAACTTTTTCCCCAAGAACTGCGAACTGCGTGGGTGCTTCAATGAACACAACAATCTCATCACCTCTTCAAGCCAAAGATTAATTGCTGTCCTCATCGCCATAATCTTTATGTCCTGCTACGTCGCCTTTCGTTCAAATCAGACTCCTTATTCATCATAATCAATTTAACAGTAAACCTCTACCTTAAGATGCATGTATTTGGTGATCTTTAGTAATATATATATATATATATATATATATTCAGATTTTATATCAGCACTGTTATCTTAGAAACCGGCCCCCCTGACATTCGTCCAGACCTTCCTCTCACAGATTCTTTAAGTGGTTTTATTAGGGGCTGCGTCACCTGGCTCTCCTCTCTCTCTCTCTCTCTCTCTCTCTCTCTCTCTCTCTCTCTCTCTCTCTCTCTCTCTCTCTCTCTCTCTCTCTCTCTCTCTCTCTCTCTCTCTCTCTCTCTCTCTCTCTCTCTCTCTCTCTCTCTCTCTCTCTCTCTCTCTCTCTCTCTCTCTCTCTCTCTCTCTCTCTCTCTCTCTCTCTCTCTCTCTCTCTCTCTCTCTCTCTCTCTCTCTCTCTCTCTCTCTCTCTCTCTCTCTCTCTCTCTCTCTCTCTCTCTCTCTCTCTCTCTCTCTCTCTCTCTCTCTCTCTCTCTCTCTCTCTCTCTCTCTCTCTCTCTCTCTCTCTCTCTCTCTCTCTCTCTCTCTCTCTCTCTCTCTCTCTCTCTCTCTCTCTCTCTCTCTCTCTCTCTCTCTCTCTCTCTCTCTCTCTCTCTCTCTCTCTCTCTCTCTCTCTCTCTCTCTCTCTCTCTCTCTCTCTCTCTCTCTCTCTCTCTCTCTCTCTCTCTCTCTCTCTCTCTCTCTCTCTCTCTCTCTCTCTCTCTCTCTCTCTCTCTCTCTCTCTCTCTCTCTCTCTCTCTCTCTCTCTCTCTCTCTCTCTCTCTCTCTCTCTCTCTCTCTCTCTCTCTCTCTCTCTCTCTCTCTCTCTCTCTCTCTCTCTCTCTCTCTCTCTCTCTCTCTCTCTCTCTCTCTCTCTCTCTCTCTCTCTCTCTTTTCAAGAAACCATGTCTCCTCTCCAAAATATAGTGATAAAAAAAACTGTCATTGGTTTAGTTCTTTGATGCAGTATTGGGGCTCCTACTGCCGATAGACCACACAAAATTCTCCTTAATTTAAAAAAAAAATTCGAAACCGATGATTTTGTGTGTGTGTGTTTATTTACCTGGATTCAAAATCTGCTGCTTTATGAAACAGATTCCCAATAAGATGTTTTCCCAATTTATACAATCTTGAATTCTTCAAGCCTAGGGTTTTTTCCTACATAAGCTCATGAACTTCACTTCTTACCTTTTCTTACGCTCATACACCACCACACTGTAATCCTCTACCTTTAGTGGCTCTTGCGCCTTGTATTGGGTGAACATTAGTATTTTAAAAAATACAGGAAATAAATAACCAACTATTTCAGCTCCTCTGGCTCCATGGTGGGCAGTGATATTTAGCGAGCTAGTTTGTTTGGATATCATTATTGAGTAGTGATTTCGATTTTAACTGGATACATGTGGTATGTATGACCTTTTATAAGCTGAGCTTCGTAAATGACAACTATCTCCTCACCCTACTCAAGCAAGCCCTTTTATATTTGCGAAGGCACTAGTGATTGAACCCGAAAATAAAGTTGCCAAAATTGAAATAGATTAATTGGCAATCCATGTCATTTGATGTGAATTCCTAAACATAGAATCAGACACGTGGAGGTGATAGCCTGAATAAAATTTAATTAAGAGTTGTTTATATTAGGGCCGTCTTATCGTCACGTTTATATTCTCCTATCGGATCTGATCTGGGGCAATCTAAACTATCCAATCGTTTCTTTAATCAAGATCAAATAACTAATTTCAGTATTGCATTGACGAAAGAGACACATATTTAATTGGAAAAGCATAGAAATACAAATTACGATATTTCGAATCCTTTTTTCGAAGTTAAATCATTGATATTCTTTCTTTTTTATGTGTCGTGTCACTTCAGGACGTAAGCGATCATGGCTCTCCACATCCTCCTATCCCTTGCAGCTCTCAATAAGTTTCGTCCCTCTGCCACCTCCCCCAAAACACATTCTGTCATCCACTTCCTTAATCCTCCCAGGTATGAATACGTTGCTTTCCTTTGTCTCTCTTTTCTTCTATTTGACCTGTGAGTATAAGATTCTCCAAGCCATCCTTTCTCATTACGTGTCCCAGAAATTTCAGCTGCCTTTTCCTGATGTTAAGTATAAGCTTCCTCCTTGTTTGCATCCTCTCCAAAACCTCATAGTTGCACATACGATCGGTCCATGTTATCTTCAGCATCCTTCTCTAGAACCATATCTCCGTTGCCTTGAGTGTCTTCTTCATCTTTGAGGAGACCGTCCAACGTTCGCTGCCGTAAAGGAGGACAGATGTCACGTAGCAGCTCAGTATTCTTCTCTTTGTTACCAAAGAAATCCTCCTGTCTCGCAATACTCTGGCCAGCTTCTGGAAATAGAAGCAGGAAAAGACAATGTCCCAAACTGACACAAAATGCTTCTCTCAGTATTGTAATTATTAATTTAGATATTATTATTGTTACCATTAATTATAAAATATATAAGTAAATTAATAGGTAAAATAAATTTACTCCTTCTGGAAGGCAGTTAACCTAGACAAACGAATGTCCTATTACTTATCTGAAAAAAGGCCCTGCGATGTGAGATGCTTAACTAATTCAGAAATGAATAAGACCTCTGGTAGTTTAGCAAAAAGAAATAGAAAGCTAACAGGTCGATAGTTGAAAGTGCCGGACGCTTCATCTGCTTTATGCAACAACAGAGGAGAATTTCCAACAAGCAGGAAATTAAGAGACACTGAAGCATTTATTATGCAGCTTAAAGAGAACAGGAATCTGTTCGGGAACGAACTTTTAAGGATTATTACAGGGATATTATCAGATCCACATGCTTTGTGGAGATCCAGACCTTTTCTATAAATACTTTCATGGTAATTGTTCGTATGAATTATTCGCTATGGTAGCTAGGAATTATGAATTTAAGCGCAGTACTAGATTAGCAACTAGGTCTCATTAATTTACAGTTTAGCTGGCTAGATGAAAACGTAAGTTCTATGCTTATAACTTCTTCTTTCTCGTTTGTGAAACTCTCTTCCGGCTCTCTTCTTTCTAGTGATCTACAGAACACTAAATGCAATGTCAATCGTTATCTGCTGTCTTTCTGGTTTTACTCTTCTATTCCACTCACTTTCTAATGTTTCTCTATTTTGACTGTTCTTTCACACTCAGTAAACTATAGTTATGTTATTAACCGGGGCAAGAAATGGCTTGTTAATTTGAACCCCTCCAAAACTTTTCTCTATTAATCACCTGGACGATCCATTCCTGTTCCCCATCCGCATAGATGATGCTAACTTCCATGAGCGCAATTCGTTGGAACTTCTCGGTCTAACATTCTCGACTGATATGAAATGGAAAGACTATAATGAATCAAATACTAGGTCTGCTGTCGTGTTTATTTTCTCTCTCAGGAATCTATCTTGCATATTTATAAGACTACCATTCGTCCATGTCACATGTTGCTGT